GCATGGTTTCTTGTATCATTAAACGTCGTGTTGTTTTGTGTATTATTGGGTGTCCATATCTTATTTGCCCAGAGAAAAGAAAATTTGGCTTTGTTAAATGGTTGGTGCCCGCCACAATCTCATAAACTCTCAAATGTGCCCGTAGGCACAAAAAGGTTGGGGACCACTGCCTTAAGTGTTAGTAAATCTGGCAATCATTATACTTACCTTATCATCAATGGTGTCAAACTTGGTAAGAACAATGCCATCAATGAGCTGGGGGTTAAAAGAAGAAGAATAGTCAGCTATGGCCTGATTGAACTTAACAAGTTGATCCACAGCCTCATTGCCTACAAGTGCTTCTCCAACAAACAGCACCAGATCAGGCTGGTTCACTTTTATCAACTGCAACATCACATAGAAATATGACTAGATTAAAATGTACTACTGCAACTTGGATGTATTATCACTGATTATAACGTGCAAAAGATTACATTCTTTAAATAAATGTACCTTTCTTGTCTTGAGAACATATTGGACAGTCTGAATGGAGTTTCATGCTCCAAACAATTTGAAATGCAGTCTTTTGTTCATCTAGCTGTTCAAAATCCTATTCTACAGCAACTCTAGCCACATTACATCTTTCGATTAAAAGCCTTCTACATAACTAACATAAAATACCATAGAAACGCTTCATTAATTTGTTCACAGTTTTGTCTTTAGAAGTACAAGCACTTCACATACCTGAACACTTACAGCAAGTAGCCAAGTTGAATTCCCTTATAGTAATGGTTTTCTAGATGGCAAAATTTGTTTACATCAAGTATTGCATACTTATTTTCTGAAATCTGTATTAAGTAGAAAGTAATACAATGTATTTTTTATGTTAGGTATGCTCCTTGTTTTGCAACAAAATTTTCATTACAATGGTGTTCACCTCCAGTCATGTAACTGCAAAACCACTACACTATTAAGAGCAACACTTTACCTTGGCAAGGGCCCTCATGAGCGGCTCATTGTCCTGCATCCGCCCGGCTGTGTCGACCAGCACCACGTCAATCTTGAGGTCACGTGCAAAGTTGATGGCTTCCATAGCAATCCCCGCAGCATCTTTGCCTAGAAAACACATTTAAATTCATAATTTGTAACAATCTAAATAAACAATACATTTTAAAGCCATAGTTCTTTCAATACCTGAGTTTGCAAAGAAAATCCAGTGTTACCTACAGTAAAATGTCCATTCAATGTTTCTCTCTGGGACAATGAACTTAGCACTAACTGAGGGAAATCTTAAACGGAAGAAATTTAACTCTGGAATAACGAGACTGTGACTACAAAACATCAACAAAAAATGGAGAAAACCTTAAATCAAGAAACACAAATTAGAAAATTATGCAAGTTAAATTGTGTATGCATGTATCAATGAAAGAGCCCCTTCCTTTCTCATATTGTAACGCAAACTATACTACATAAATTTTCTCTTTCTATAACGTATTATACGTCCTACAGCCAACGCAACTATATTTTGGATCCAAAGAATATATACTAATGTATGTTTGCATGTACCCATAGGATGTGACAGCTTATAAGTATTCATTATGATAGTCTCATGCTGACCAAAGAAAGAGTTACAAATAAATGTACTTGTAAATGTAAACTCACCATATCCCTTCTCATACAGCTGCACCATCTGCTGACCACCATGTTTATCTGAAGGGTGAAGAGCATTCAGATGACGTGTGTGTGTACGCAGCTGTTCCACAGCCCCAGCCCTAAATGTGTCACATGCTGCGATAAGTACACGCAAGTTGTTTTCAATGAGCCAGAAACAGATCTGGAAAAAAAAACAATACTGATGCCAACAAAGCCATGAAGCCAGGCACAACCATATTACAGAGTCCCACAAGGAAATTATTGATATTTACATTTCTTGCAAGAACCAACATTTTGTGGAATTTACAGGCAATTTATAATGCGTATAGATAGCAGTGACACAGCAGATCTCAGGAAAATAAAAGAGAATATAGCGGTATGGTGACTAAACCACGAAAAACCTTAAATGAAGAAAATTTAATAAATATAATTAAACACACAAAATACAAACTTAATCCTAAATAAGTGAAAACTTTAAATTCAGGTACATTAAACAAAAAAAAAAAACTCTGAACAATGCAGTAACTAAAAGTACACTGAAACCTTTTAAGCAGTACATAAAAAAATTACACGTTCATGTTACAGGCAGTGCACTCAGACTGCATTCACACTTGTGTCCAGGACATGAACAGCAGAAGGAAAATCCAAAAGAACACATGGTAACATATCTGGGATCATGAACTGATCACCAAGTTTATTTAAATTAAATAATAAAATAAGGAATAACATTTAAATTCTGTTACAATAAGATAAATAAGGACTAAAAATGTTAAAATAAACCCATAATATTAGCTAGAATAAAATTACCTGCTTACCTTGGCAAGATTAGTAGACTTCCCAACACCATTTACTCCACAGAAAGTCATAACATAGGGCCGGCCTTGTTTTTTGGCTTCCATGGCATCTCGCAAGATGTCTACACGCCTCTTAGGAGAAAGGATCTGTACTAAAGCCTCTGTCAGAGTAGTTCTGACTGTGGTAGCTACACTGTCGAAAGTTCCCAGCACCTGCAATAAAGTATCTCTTCACAAAAAAAATTCTCTCAAGCAGGTTACAATATTTTAAGACAGTAAATGTAACAGGCAGGTCCATTAAGTGGTACACATAAGTAGCCAATTTTTAATTACCAGATCTTGATATAAGAGGTCATGTAAACACTACACATGAATAGTGATGCTAAGGCACAGTTTACAAACATGTGAATAAATAGTAATATATGATACTAAATAAGCACACAACACAAAATTATGAAAGAAAGATATAAAACTGATTTTATTTTCATTAAATTGCAGATTATAAAAGCGTAAGAGTGTGGAAAGGAAACAAAGATGGATTTCATTGATACAGACTGTTTTGAGATTCTATGCAAAGTTAACCCAGAAGCGTTAAAATTACTGAAGGTTGAAGAAGTCAGACAATGTTATTCAACCACTCTAAAAGAACACATTGGGTTTGCAGAAAATTTCTAACAGCGTTATTAATCTTTACTGGCCATGTATCACAGTTTACATGCAGTTAAGCTGGCTATTGGTTGCAGCAGAATACTGCTACACCATTAAACCTGAAGCCTCACAGTATAGGGATTTAGGTATATAACGCAATACAATGTAGGATATTGTAAGTTTTGCAAAAGATCATGGGATGCACAAAATTCAGCAAACTCAACCAAGAAGCAGGTAATGTCATAAATGTTTACTCAGCCAGCTGACTTTATTTACTTTACAGTGTCTTGACAATATAATAGAATTTCACTGTAACTTCAACATCAATAGTAAACCGCTACAGATAAGTACTTACTTTCCCCTCCAGTTTGGCTGCCACAGAATCACACAGCTTATGAGCAATATCTGTTGCCACATTCTTGGCAATTAGATGATCTTTCAGTTTGTCAAGCACAGGTTGCATGCCTTCGTGTGTCAGATTCTTGCTTCCTACCAGACCCCTGCATATAACAACCTCAAAATAACAAATGTTCCTTCAATTCAGATATCTGCATTACAAATAAATGACTAGGACCTTCATTTTCCTCGGTATCTAAATATATTTGAAGATCTGTAGTTCTTGGAGAATTAAGACTGAAATATTACACAACCTTCAACAGAGCTGACAAATTCTTCTATTAATGACTGTCATTCACTACTAAACAGTCTGAGCTACTGACAGTCAATAAACAAACCATAAATAAACAAGTAACACACAGAGTTGCCATCATATTACAAGTCCCTTGCAGGATTCAGGTACTGTCTGCTTACCTGTTAAACTCTAGTGATTATCGTAAGGTCCCAATGAGTAAAGTATTAAAATTTGTTCAAGGAGAAAGGTTACTACTGTAATAATTACTGGGGACAAGAAACAGATCATGATTGGTTGGAATATGAGAGCAATTTGATGCCCACCCCTTTCTGTTCTACTACAGTTACCATCATAACAATAACTTACCTGAATAAGGAAAACACACCCTTCGACTTAGCACCAGTTACAGCATTCTGCTTGCGAGGCTCTGAGTTTATTCCTTCTTCCTCATACTCTACTTCATTCTCGGAGTCGCTCTCCACCTCCAGGTCACGAATGCCACCTGCCATTGACCCAATGATCTACAACAAACAGAATATGAATCATATTGCAGAAGTTTATCTTGCATTTCATGCTTTAGTAGTGGTTTCATATTAGGAACATCAGAGTTCAACTTTACCCAGAGGTTTCGCTATCCTGACTGAAGATTTTCATAGTTCCCCTCAGTCCCTCCAATGAAATATTCTTCAATTCAACACTATACAATCTATGAAGCTGAGAAAGCATTGTCAAATGATTCAAGGAAAATATAAGAGCACGTTGGTTGATAATGAAAAACGAAAAATTTCTTCACCAATGTCTGAAAAGCATAGTAGAAGGTATAAATCTAAAGTGAGCAAGCAGACAGAAGATATTACATTCAGCATAGCTCAGATAGATCATTCCCTGCTACAAGTTTAATTTAAAAAATTCCAAGAAAAAATGTGCAAATGATGGAATCAATATAACTAATAATCTGGAAGCCAAGAAACTACAAGAGGAACACCCAACTATTCTCTTGCTGAGACTGTTCTAGCGTGCAAATGATGGAATCAATATAACTAAAAATCTGGAAGCCAAGAAACTACAAGGGGAAGACCGAACTATTCTCTTGCTGAGACTGTTAGGAGGAAGGCTCTGTTCTAGTGCACCTGAACAGCACAAAATAAATTATATAGCATAGATTTACCCTGGTGTCAGGCTGGATCTCATCTTGACCAGGCACTCCGTCTGTGGGCTTGTCCTTGGTGTAATCAAGGTTTGCAAGATCCTTTGTGTTGCCTCCCAGATCCCATACACGTGGCTTCTTTCCTTCTTTGGTGGGCTTTGGGCTCTTCCTGTAATGCCAGCATTACGATAGCTAATGCAAGTGGTGGTGCAGAGTAGCAGATCCATAATGTTCAACACCACTAGTACCAAACCTTGTATTTACAGACCATACATGTTAGCATTTGCACTGCTGTTAATATGTCAGTAGAAACCTGAATTTTTATTCAAACTTATAATAAATATAAGTCAATCCTTAGTTTGAAAAAAAAAACAGGTATTAGACCTCTTAAAACTACAGACATCTGATAAAGTGATGAAAATTTGTGCAATTCGGTTGTTCATCTCAAATCAATGAAAACTCCAATTTAAATTGATATGGTATAGACTTATCTGCAAGTATTTTCCACACCCAAACTTACTTATCTGTTTTGGGTTTCGGGCTCTTCCCAGCAGCTGCCATCCTTTGGGCAAGGCGAAGACGGTTCTGCTGTAAGGTCTCTTCATCCAATTTTATATTAGAGGGCTGCTGTGTCTCGGTCTTCAGAGGTTCTGCATTCTTCACTACAACGTGAAAAACAACATAAGAAAAGATTTAGAAGAAAATGATGTGACTCTCTGATTAACCCCTCAACCAGTCCTGCACCCTGCTATAAAGACATAACAGTAATTCAAATTAAAACAGATGTTTTGCTATGAAACATATGTATTACTTTGCAGTACAATCAATACACATTATTTCTTAAGACAGACATAATTATTCATTATGACCTATGTGATGTGGCATTAAGACACGTTCAGAATGTCAGTGTACTCCTATGAGTATTCTTTTTCAATGTCGTTTTTACCTTCAGACTCTTCAAAAACTTGAAATGTATCACTCATCACTGCTGGCCTTTTCCACAAGAAACCTGTCACAATGGCCAGGGCTCTAGAAATGTACTTGCACATCTGTCGCACACAAATTAATGGAAACTGGTGGTGAGTATGTGAAAGTATCTGTATGAAGTATATTGCAGGACTATGAGTGAGATTTCTGTAATTTGACTAGCATATTTAAATTGTAATTCTGGAGCCATGCACTGCTCATATCTGACAAAACAGTGAACATGACCTTTTCAGCAGACTGTGGTCATCAAAATACTTTGAGTTATTGCAGTGAAGGCTGACACAACTGTCTGCTAGGATGTTTTGTTTCAGACTGTAAGCGATTCACACGTGACTTTTCAGTAATCACAATTTGTTTAAGAAAATCATTGTCTCCTGTTCCATAACAGACCAATAAACCCATGCAGTGGAAAAAGCAATGATTTTATTGCTTGTAATTTATGAATCATATTCAGTTACTTATCACTGATTTTTAGGTTATTTAACAATTCTATATCAACTGCAAGGTTATGCAGCACTGTTTAACTAGAGAGACTGAAAAAGTTTTGTAAACTTCCATCAGGCAAGTTGTTCTCAGCCAGAGTTTGAAATGGACATGAAGCAAGAGAAACCATAACACCACAACATTTTAGGCAGTTATTTAGCTAAATGATGACATTAAAAGCAAGGAAATTTAATAAGTATTTTTACATGCACCATTACAACTCTCCCACTGAATGAGATAAAAATACTGCTAAATTGTCAATATGATTAGTACTTACTATTAGTGATGCCTTCACCATTAACAAAAGCAACTCCTTTCTTCTTGTTCTTCCCTGTGAACCATAATGATAATTAAAACTGAATAAAATGAAACAATACATTTGGGCATTTTCAAATAAAAACCTCATAATAAACGAGGCCTGCTACATCCAGCATGATGACTATGCTGCTTAGGAATGACCCTGAGTTCATTAAAATTAAACTTTATAAACATACATGCTTCTACGGATTACAAGCAAACCCAAAATCAATTGTGTTGACTCTCAACTCACCAGTTTTCTTATTTTCTTTTTCATCATTCTTTCTTTCAATCATAGACGCAACAGTTTTCTTTGACTTAGATGACTCTTCAAAAGTTCTCATCTGTTTGGGAATCATTGACTGATATTTTCCCCATTGTTCTGCTGAATTCAAAATAGTTCTGAAATGACTACCAAAGTCTTCAAAACCCTAAAAGAAAATTAAAACATTAATTTTTTGTTCAGCCTTTACTGAGAAGAGTCAAACAGCTGCAATAAAAATAATTAAATCATAATTACATCACATACCTGAAAGTAAAGTCCTTCCTGCAAATCTGTCTTGTACTTGTCTCTAAATTCCAAATGGATGTCATTCAATAATTTGTCAACGTACGACAACTGTAGAATTTTTTGATATGCGACAACAAATACAAGCTCAAATTCATTATCAAGTTTATATTTTAAAGTCAATGCATTGTGCTCAAAACTGTCGTTTCCAGTTCTTTCCTGAAACATCGGAAATTTCAATTCGTGACATCCTGTCAGATGCAATCGACGTATGTTATAAATCATAAAATGCATAACTGACACATTCTAACCAACTAAAAATAAAAGTTTATAGATGACAAGTAGTGAACAGATGACCATAACCTCTCAGTACACCATGCCATAACTTACTTGCAGTATGACACTTCGAATTAAAGCATTAACTGATGGCGTAAATATCTGGCTAGTGCTTTGGAAACACCAGAGCACGATGCCACCTTTACTAAATATCGTAAACAAATCCAACATTTTGTCCCTTTGTTAACAGCTGTTAGTATGTCAATTGTGACCGGAAACACGCACTATATACGAAGTCACGGTTGTCGGAAGTACGCTGAGCTTCGAAACACAAAGATTAAATACAATTTTTAAGTGATACCACTCTAATTCGAGCACACAACAACCTTGGTCTCAACGAAGAAATACGATGACAGGCGAACCACAACAGCAAATATGTATATGAAATTGCCCTTGAGAAGCTAATGGTCGCGCAGCTCGTTAAGATTACCTTATTACAAGTCTAGAGATTTTTATGACATTGTTGACGGCAATAATGAAACACAACAATGCCTTCAATAAATGACGTTATCAACAATGCCGATTGCGTTTTAAACACTTGACCAAGCCCCCACGAAGGGGGGTTGGTCAAGTGTTTTAACCCCCATTGGGGGGGTAGTTTAGTTTCTTACTCAAGGGTTAAAAGACTTGAATGAGACACTAAACTAACCCCCCCCCGAAGCGGGGGTTGATTGCGTTTTAAACACTTGACCAAGCCCCCACAAAGGGGTGTTGGTCAAATGTTTTTACCCCCCATTCGGGGGGGTTAGTTTAGTTTCTTACTCAAGGGTTAAAACACTTGAATGAGACACTAAACTACCCCCCGAAGGGAGGATAGTTTAGTGTGTTACTTAAGATTTTAAAACGCAACCAACCCCAACCCCCGAAGGGGGGGTTGTTCAAGTGTTTTAACCCTCCATTCGGGGGGTTAATTTAGTTTCTTACACACGGTTGGTTGCATTTTACAAACTTGACCAACCCGCCCGAGGAGCTCCAAAAGGAGTGCTCTGCTCTAGTAGGTAAAGGAATGGAGTGCAATATGGTGTACATTCAGGCTATTATACTGCATGTATAAGAAACGAGAAAATAGCCTCATGGCATGCTCAACCAACATTGTTGCAGGTGTGGGTTAGAAATTCGAATACTTTTTCTTGGATTGTTATGCATGCATGTGTTCATATAATAGCTGACCATGGCCGGTCAGTATTTACACATTGTTGGTGCTCATGGTAAGCAATGCTTACATGCTTTCTAACTGTTCTACAATATACTGTTATAAAATACTGATTACTGACCAAGTGACTGAATGAACAGTTAACCTAACCAAACATAATCAAACCTCTCTCTTTGTCACCAGTCTTCAGAATGGTTTGATGTGGTTCCCCATTTTTGTATATCTTGCGCAAGTCTCCTCATTTTCACATATTTTTAGCAGCCCACATCCTCAGAAATCTGCGTCACATATTCCAACCTTTGTCTCCCCCTACAATTCTTCCCTTCAGCTGTTCCTTCCATTACCAAATTAACCAATCAGAATGTGTCCCACCATCCTATCTCTTCTTCTCGTAAGATTTTTCCATAGACTTCCTCCTTCGCCTATCCTGTCTAAGACCAGTTCATTTTGTGCTTTATCAGTCCACTTCTATCCTTCTTCTTTCTGGCTTTCCCACTAACTATGTTTCACTTCCGTATAGCGCTGTGCTCCAAACATATAACTTCAGAAAAATCTTTCTTAATTGCAGGTCAATTTTTGACACTAGTAGACTTTTCTTTTTGAAGAAGGTTCTTTTTGCTTGTGCTAATCTGCTTTTAATGTCTTCCTTGCTTCTTCCATCTTTTGTGATTTTGCTTCCTAAATAACAAAATTCTTTCACTTCTTCTACTGCTCCCCATAACTTTTGTCTTGCTTTTGTTTATCCTTAAGCCGAATTGCTCACCGAGTAATCTATTCATACCATTCAATAATTTCTCTACATCTACCTTCCTTTCAGCCAAAAGGGCAATAATGTCGGTGAACCTTAACATCGTTATCCTCTCCCCTTGGACTTTTATTCCTGTCCCAAACTTTTCTTTCACTTCCTTCATTGCTTCCTCAACATACAAATTAGACAGCAGGGGCAATAGGATGCATCCTTGTCTTTCCAATCACAGAAAACCTTTATCAATTTCAGTTTACTACAGAGAGAATGAATATGTCAGTTACCTGTTAGCACATCAAATAGGGATATGAATGGAATTTCATGTTACACTGTCACATACTTATTACCATTTCCTTCCTCTTGTAGGCCAAACCTGTATATAATCCACAAGAAGTGGCAGAAAGAAGATCAAAATGTGTGGTTTGGTTACTGTGACATAACAAATAATTCAGGTCATTGCAATCTTTTTAATATGCAACGTTCACATATAAAACAATTACAAAACATACACACATATAAACAAATATACAGTAAAAATACTTCATTGCAATTAACAACCATTATGAAGTAAGAGTGTGAAGGAATCTCGTACAAAGTGTACATGAGAAAAACGCAGGAAAACAAAGGAATCAGTAATTAATACACAAAAGCATTATCATATGTGTGGATAGTGCCACAATAGTAAACACTATGTAAAACTTAGAGTCACTTCCATAAATTAAATAACAGTACCACAGACACACCTGTAATTTCACCTGAATGTAAGAGTCCATGTTCTTTCCAAATAGAAGCAACAACAGTCAAACACAAAAATATTACATTTTGTAAATTATAAAATACTGAGAGAATTTATTATGCTAAAACAAAGACAAAATATAGAGGGGATCCTTTGTTCCCAAACACTTCTTAGTCACACAACCACCAAGTAAGAGTCATATACAAACACAAATCGGTTTATACTAATAGTATTTTGAATAGCAAGAATCTAGAAGCAGATGCTTCAGCCAGGTACTACGTTACATCAGAGGAAAGATTAAAATGAGGTTGCGAGACATTGGAATTTTGAACCTTTCTTCCCATCAACCCTCACAAAAAAAGAAATAATGCTAGAAGTAGTTACTAATTCTTGCACCATGTTGGCCTCAAAACAAAATATTTGTATCTATACTTGTGAAAAAGAATTTAGGATTATAGAATATGAAAATTTTCAGTTGTTTCTTTCTGCTCAATACACAGGAACATTTGGTAAATCTCTTCTTAAGTTATTTATAACCTTTCCACTGAAACTGAACACTTCTTGGAGAAATTAAAATCTGCATTTACTTATCTCAAAAGTAAAAAATGCTAAGCAGGAACTGGGGTTCTCACAGCAGTAGGTACAAAGAAGGCTACAATCCAGAAGACAGCCATCTTCATAAAAAAAAGCGGATCAAATTTTGTTATACTTAAAGTTCAGATTCTGAATGATAAGCAAACTTGGAAGCCACCAGGATAACTTGCTACACAAAACACACATTTTATAAAAGTCGGAGCAGGACAATGGAAACTGAATTTCAACCTGAGTTTGCCCTTATAAGAATTACAGTAATGTTATCATGCAGTATCCAATAATCAATCAGAGAAACCAGCTATTGTGTTAAAAGGATATGGAACTTTTAAGAGTTGAGGTTTTCACAGCGGTGAGTATGAAGATTTCTGTCTTGTGGGTTGTTGCGCTGTGTATTCTGGTCGATGGTTACCGTTTCAGAGGTCATCAGATGCATTGCCCTGACGACGGAGGCAGTACGACCTCTGAAACGTTGGTAACCATCGACCAGATTACACAGCGCAACAACCCAGAAGACAGAAATCTTCCTATAGAACTTACAAATGTATTATTCCTACACCACTATCACAACCGATGCATCAGTTAAACCAATTTACCTCTTCAAATCTCCAAATTTAAATGCACTTTTAAGAAATTAAACAAATACCATAGCCTATGTTAGCTTTAAGTTTATGTTATTAAACTTAAATTGTAGTAGTAGAACATAACATGACACTTCACTTGACCAATATTAAAACAAAAGTATTAACCTTTAAGATGAGGGTACACCAAACTATCCAATCAGGTGTTCCAGAAAACCATTCCTCAATACGCATAAATTTTAAAAAAAAACAGGTTAAATGAAAGATGGAGTAATTATGTCAGATATGATACAGTAAGGACTAAATAAAATAAAAGATAAATCCTCAGCTGTGTGTTAAAAATACAAAACAATCTTATTTCCACAGTAAGCAATGAAATTCTGACAAAAAAATCAGTAATGATGATGTTGCTAACTGAACTGCATGTTGTCGAAGTCTTTCTCCAAGTCGGCAACAAGTCCACGTCCTGCAATAATCAATATCACAAATGAAAGCAAAGAATCTGGTCATTCAGTAACAAAGTGTAACACCAAAATCATGTTACTTGTGTTTGGCAGTAGAGCACAGTCAAAACATTAGACAATCCTTTTTACAAAGTCTCACATCTACACGATAGGCAAAGAAAGAAATTGTTCTGCACACCTCTTCCAAGGCTGACGGGTTTAGAAGGACCGGCAGCTAGCTTTCCTCGGCCTGCTACAGCAATTGGCTCATTTCTCATCACACCGGCAGGTTCTGCAAAGTCAGGACCAATTTTTCTATCTATTACAGTAAAACGAGTAACAATAAGGCTTTGGGAAGCAAGTAGCTTACCAGGTGTAGCATTTTCATGGTTTCATAATACTGATTTCACAGTAATAATACGAATCTGTGGATGTATTCAAAGTAATTAGACACCTCTCTCACTTAAGCTCTTCCCTTTGATACATGAGAACCTGCTAATAAGAGATTCCTGAGGATGGAGGCAATACACGCCTTCAAAACATTGCTAACCACTACAAGTTCACACAGCGTTACAATCCACTATGCTACGATCAACATCCTCACCACCATGAGAATGTTAAATCTCAGTTCAAAATTTTAAATGTCTGCATATTCCTACTGAACACATGAAAGTGATATAAGCATGAAGGTTTCTTTCACTTACTACTTTGTTTTGATGAGCCAAGAACAGGGAAGTCTTCTTCTGTAAATTCTGTCATGAGACTTAAAGCTACAGCTGGAACAAAGTGATACATGAGATGAGTGAAGTGAAACACGATCAAGATGTAAACTTAAATCAAGTTCGGTATTATGAATTTCTTGGAATTTCTCTGTGCAACACTAAAGGCAAAATCTATTGTTTCATCTACTTTCACAACCTACATTTTAAAACAAAATTCTCAACTATGATTCTTAAATAATCCGGGAGTAAAAATCAGGCCAACAGCACCGTGGCACAAGAATAACGTCAATAAATGCTGCAATCAAAAATAACATTGAATATATCACAACCATCGACTCACAGTCGGTCTTCGGTGGACGGAGCGGTGCTAGTGGTTCCCGACATGTCAGTTTTTTGGGCTCAGGCTGCTTGCTGACACTGACAATCCCTGGTGTGGCTCCCAAGGTGAAATGCTGTGCAATCATATAATTATCAACATAAGAAACAAACTGCTCCTCCCCGGTACCCATTGTAGAGGAGGCTGGGTGGGCCCCAGAGCCGGTCTGGACGCAGAGGCTAGAGGAAAAATCCTCTGCCCCCGTCAGGGATTGAACCCCGTTCGTCCAGCCCGTAGCTAGTCACTGTACTGACTGAGCTATCCCGGCTCATATTAAACATGTAGTACTTCCACAAAAACCCATAGTCTGACTTTATTATGTTGATAACAACAAGAGACAAATCAATCTACCATCCTAACACCATGATACAAAGTCTTCCTACAGCAACTGGCAAGTTCATTTACACTAGTACCTCACATACTGTATTCTTGTACCTTAAAAGATTTTTCTTTACGATAGCTGCGTGCACTTATTATGATGACAACAAACACAATGACATCAGATAGTTAATTGAGACCTAGGGTATTTATTGATGCTGTTTCAACTATACATTCTCTAAGATGGAATAATGATCATGAACACTGAATAATTAAGGAGTCACATAGAGACAATCATGATTTATTGGAGAACATTATCCTGATATTTACCCAGAGTGACCAAAGAAAACCAAAATAATCCTTAATCTGACTGTGATTCAAACTGGGTACCTGCACGTTACCACTACACTGGCCTGCTTAGTGAAATGGTGTAGAGGAAAATATCAACTTCCTCATTAGAAATGAAAAAGATTTCCAGTCTAAGGCCAGTTGATGTTGTTTTTTATTATTTATTTATTTAAAGTACTTGACCTATCACTTCACTCAAAATTAATATTACTTTCAAGTGTTCACTGTTTAAAGGTATCCTGTTAACATGTCTGCTAATTACATGTATTCTCAAATGCAAACTGCAAAGAAATAACCCAGACAAGTACACATAAATCCTCCAACTCTAGCTGGCTTAAGGCCAACAGTTCTCCCACAGCAACTGCTGTTGCTGCTATTTGTATGGTTAAATATAAACTGTACTTACAGAACAATTTGTGCACTGCACTCATAACATACCTGAGCAGAGGACGGATCAGGCAGAAGACTACCATAGTCCACAAAGCTTGTCTTCATTAATGAGTTGGATGAATGTGGTGAAGCATCTCCAGCCTATTTACACAGACTCGTCTAAGCTCATAACAGAAATGCAGCAATACAATGCAAGAGAACTTCACTAATCATAGATTTATTTATTCACACACTTTACTGTACTGTAATGTTGTTTTCCATGCCATAAAATAATCTGCCAATATTGTCAGGGTGATTAAGTCGAGAAGAATGAGATGGGCGGGACATGTAGCGCGCGTGGACGGGACAAGAGGTGTGCACTGGGTGTTGGTTGGGAAGCCTTAGGGGAAGAGACCGCTGGGGAGACCTAGACGTAGATGGGAGGATAATCTCAGGCGGGATCTATGGGAGATAGGAGTTGAAGGAGACTGGATTTTGTCGGCCCAGGACAGGGTCCGGTGGAGGGCTTTGGTTAGTTCGGTGATGAACCTTCAGGTTCGGTAAGCCATCTAGTTAGTTAGTTAGTTATAAAATAATCTGCATAGAATATCACACTGATTCATCTGGCTCAAACAATGGTCCAGGCGGGGACTTTTCTGAACACAGTAATAAACAGTCAGGGTTCATAATAGGTGGAGCATCGAGCAACCTCAATACATACCTCATCACATTTACATACTTCATTCTAAGACAATTACAAACTTCTTTGCTCACTTAGGCATCGCTTTATAAAATGTTTTACACTTAATTATTTGTTAAGAACAGCAAAGCAAATTGTAATTCTTTACACATCGAAGAGTAGTACATGAAATTAACATTTACTTTACTGAACTGCGCTGTGTTCTGCAGAGTTTAACCAAGTGACGTGGCTGCTAGATTTTATTAATGTACTGCGTACTATTTCCATGCTATTAAAAACATTTACATTCCCTTGCGAAGTCAGAATATCTCCTTTCGGTAGAATAAAACTGTTGGCATGTGAGGGCCAACGCCATTAGCTGTACTCACCGTGCTAGAAGCCTGATATGCCAATTTCAGGTAGCGTGATGTGTCAGCTTCTTTGGGACAATGCTTTCCTGCCACAAGCTGGATGCCTAAGTCTTTGCAACAATGGTCCATGATGAGGAAGCCCCAGCGGCGGACACATGACAGGCTGCAGAATGGCAGAGCATCAGTCTCTTCATGAAACTGCCAACATAAACATTCCCACTGAATCAAAATCAAGAACATACGATTACGTCATCAATTCTAAAATGTGACTACCCACTATTTTCATAAACAATAACCAAATAAATAGATTTCAAGAAAATTAAAACTTTTAGAAATAACAGGGTTTAGGACACTCTCAATTTTCTACAAATCTTGGGGCTCCTTTTTAAGTGCATTTGCATTGCTGAGGAGTGCCTAATAAAATTTCTTTATTCATATATGCGTGCATGTAACAACTCACGTATGGCTGAGTGCAAGGCAGATGGAGAGAGATATCAATTCAAAAATAAAATAAATGATGACAATTCATTAATATACCCAGGACCAAACTCCGCACTTTGCCTACATCACTACCTTGTGGGTAGATGGACAACAAACACATATACTACAAAAACCAAAGACACTATCAACATAGGATATGGACAGTGAGCCGCTGTGAAATAATATTTATTATACAACAGTATAGGATTCCTTATCTGCTACCACTCCTAACCCCCTAATCTTGCCTTTCACTTGTAATGGTCCTCATACACACAGTTACATCCTGCCTGATTACAGTAACTGGACCTGTCTTTCTACACATCAAATGGCTACCTCGACGAGTTAGTGGGTCTACAATCATGTGGCTACAGGATCCAGCAATTCTGCATCAAACAACTGTTGGAAATACGCTGTTAAACACAAACATTTAAACATGCCCACCTCACATGAGATTCCTCTGGTATAGTTAAACACATCTTTATCGAGTTCACGTTCTGCTAGGCTGAATGCTGGAAAACCTACTTTCCCAGGCCTGTTGCTGACACATGCATTACGTAGTTCATAAAACAGCTTAGGGAGAGGGTACACTCTGAACACGTCAAACTCGCTTGAGCAGCCTGCAAACAAAACACGAAAGCATCATAAACAAATGCAATTATGAATAGCACAGTAAAGAAGCCAGTAACTTACAAGCTTTTAAACCAAGAAGTGCATGTGAACATATTGTGATGTCGGTTAGTTCTTACGCCCTTTATTGGCAACCCTTGCTGTTGGGAGTCTGCTAACTTGAATACTATCCAACAAAAACTTTTCACACGCTCAACACTTCGCTGTCTTGCTGCCGCTGTGCCCTCCGGCTCACACACAACTGTCTGTTTCACAACTCGGCCGCGTAACACAACTGTCTGTTTCACAACTCGGCCACGTACAGGAATGTGACTTTGTTTATTATCCCCTCCCAAGATGTTGAAAGATCCAGACCAGGCAGCCTGGAAGTCAAGCGGCCCCTCCAGCGCGAGGCCCCAGTACCCACGGCAACACGTCACAATATGAAACATTGTCATGCTGGCTTGGGTTATAATGCAGTGATGACTTATACGCAGATACAATTTTGTACCAATCCACTTATGGTATTTACACTGAGACATTAGGATTATTGGTGCACTTCATCTGCTAGATTAGTTCAACAAAAATTCATTCCACAAAAGTTTTATTAACTGCTAATGTAAAAATCCCTTTTTAACATTTAAAAATTAAATATACCACTCACTTTATTCTACTGGTCAAGTTATATACATTGAGAGGTGTTTCTACATTCCCAAGAATTTACCATTGTTAACCAATGATAAACCATGCACATCATCCATTTCACCAAACGGACCAGACACTCCTTAACACTAACTGGAACTACTACAGTCCAGAGGGACCATGTGAATGTGAGCACCAATTCAATTACAGCAGTTCATTAAAGTGGTCACAATCAAACAGCAGTAATGTTTAGTATTTGGGAGGTCCAGGACTATCTGGCCAGCCGAGCAAAGATTTTTCTCATGGTTATCTTCAGTCCCTGCACAACAAATGCCAGGAGTACCTTACTTTGGGCCATGACTGTTTCCTTCCACACCCCTTCCAATTCATTATTCACTAATCACACCATTCAACATATACCATTAGCATCTGACAGCAGCATTAAATAAACAAAGACTAAATAAAATACAGAATGGTCCAATACAAATAACAAGTCGGTTGCACATTAAATAAATTTTAAGATGTTCAGGTGGAAGACCATTAGCAGCCTAGCCAGTTTCATAACTCTGAGTTTAATAGCTGGGCTCTGACTTACGAGTATAGAATCTGTTTCTTCGTAACCTTCTCCAAAACAACAACTGGACTAAGTCAATGTACAGCCACGTTTACCTGCACGAATACTATCCTCAAGCTTGGAAAGGACATCCTTCGCAGCGTCTATACAGTTTGGCTGTGTATACAGTGGTGGCATCAAGGATTCATCTTGACTTGGTCCCTGACAAACATAAAATAAAATAAAGAACTTTTAAAAGAATTACAAAATAAATAATTTTTATTTCCTTTAACCTCTGGATCCAGATTGGCTCGGAGGCCCATCCAGCCTCCTACCCAAAAGAAACCATTTAGGAACTGAACCATATTTTCCGCAGTGCAAGGCACTTTCTACCCTGGAAAACGATACATAAAATCTGTGGCTATCTTACAGACCAAATACGGAGCAGGATTTTTTTCCTAAAATCTGGATCTGACTTACACTCAAGAAAATATTAAAAATAAATTCACCATATTTATCCAACTACATAACAAGGCTCTTTACCTTTATTTTAATTCAAAAGTAGGAAATCTTATATTCAGAAATGAAGAAAAGTGCATTACAGAAACAAATGCAATTTCAATGATTTCTACAAAAACAGGCATCAAGCCACCGAGCATATCCGAAAATTCACATATCCAGAATATTGCATCAACATGAAAATATTTCAAAACATAACAATTAAGACTTTATTTACCTTCCTGCCAAACGTAGGAGCAATTTATCCGGTTTATGCTTTTTGAGGCACGAATCTTACATCAGGTATAAACGATAATGACGCAACATCCATCAAATATGAATCCACATCCCAACATCTTTGCAACCATTCGAACAGAACAAGCTTGAAGCAGAAGAATTAATTGGAAATAGTCTCACAAGATTACATTCTACACTCACCAAGAGAAACTGCTTGACACTGATAAGGATTTTAACATAATCTGTTTCACCTCCAAATTCTTCTGGAGGAACTGGAATCTGATGAGTCTCTTCTGAGTGTTTGTTTGCTTCATACTTATATCCAAGAGGAATTGTGCCTGACAAAGAAACACACTGCACCTTAGTACACAGCATGAGTTACTCCATTCCTCCAAACTGACTTAAAAATGAAGATTTCTGTCTTCTGGGTTGTTGCGCTGTGTAGTCTGGCTCGACCAGACTACACAGCGCAACAACCCAGAAGACAGGAATCTTCATACTCATCGCCCTGATGACGGAGGCAGCATGACCTCTGAAACGATGGTAAACGTCGACCAGACTACACAGCGCAACAACCCAGAAGACAGGAATCTTCATCGCCCTGATGATGGAGGCAGTATGACCTATGAAACGTTGGTAAACATCAACCAGACTACTCACCGCTGTGAAAACCTCAAATCTTACATGACTTAAAGATAATGAGACAGAAAGAATAATTCACTTGGTATTTGTCATGCAATATGAGACACACTAGAAGCCAGTTTTAGCATAAGTCACGTAATTGAAAAGTCAAATTTATCTCAGATCTCACATTTATGCAGCAATTTGTCCCCTCAAAAAGTATGGCATCTGTTGACAATATGCAGAAGCTTCTGCCTGTATTAAATATAATCCTTCCTGTAAGACATGCAAGATAAAGCCTTTGTCTTCAAGTTCCATTAACTTGTAGGGAGCATTACCATGTTGGTTAGAGGGGAAGTCATGGCTTCTTTTTTATTTAACAAATGTCAGAAGATGATATTAGTAAACTCTTAATGCTGATTATAGATAGTGGGCAAATGTAATGATGGTAAGCAGTCTAAAAAAATTTAAATTTAATTAAAGAAAGACTTTAAAATTTATTTATGCAGCCAAAGCATTTTGAATTATGCCAACTAAAATTATGGAGTGACAGAGTTAAAGGTTTCATTAAAGATTATGGAAAATTAAAAAGCAACCCGGAACATCCAATTTGACTAGAGAGTAAAAATCACCGAGGACTACGACCCCCAAACTATAATAAACATTTCTCTCTCATATCATATAATTCATTATAGAATTTCTATTATTGATCTCTTAGATGTTATTTTTTAATCCCCCAATACTAAAGGGTTTACCACATTTTCCATAGCGTAAGAAACTTTCTACCCTGAAAACTGTCTAAAATCTATTACTATCTTATAGACGAAAGACGTAAGATTTCTTCCTAAAATTTTTCCCTCTAAAATATGGCTGTCTTAAACTCAGGAAAATATGCTAAATACATGTACTATATTTATCCAATCATATAAATATGTTCTTTAATTACATTTTCATTAAAAGACAAGGGAGAATGCCTCCAATTACATTATTATTAATGGTGGGGGGGGGGGCACACAGACAGCAAGGTGAGCTCATGAACTTAATTTATTTTCTTTAAGGAAGAAAAGTATGCTAAAAAAGAGTGACTTTGGAGCCTCAAAATATTATCTATCAGTACGAGAATGAAACAGTGGGATGGCACTAGTTCATTTTGTGAAGCCAGATGATGGGAATACAAGAACAAATATCTGAAGGAAAGGCTGTTATTGGCTGATTCAGTATGGAGGCCAATATTTGAAAGTCTTGGAGCTGTCTAATTCGATTATGTATATTCGGCATAAAATCACAAAACATCACAGATAAATTAAAAATCACAAGGTAAAATCCGTGCCATAGTTGCAGGCCAACATATGAGCATTTTGCTGAAAGTCTTGGAAATGCTCTGAGTGCTCTGGACAGCCAAATTAAGTCAAACACAAAATCTGCAGTCATGTGGTCACCTGGGTTGATCAGCGTGTGGTACACACTCCTGATGCCATCCACAAAATTGAACTCTGCGAGAGCCAATTCGCAAGGCGTGTACATTCCCTTCTCGTGCCGACAGTAATAGTTCACATGGATCAGGTAGAATTTATTGGTCTGTAAGGCTAAAACAATATAGACAACAAATGTTATTCATCACTTTCATCTGACATTTGGGGCATGATGCTGACCACTCACCCCCATTTAGTGCCAAGGTCAAGAATGGGTATGAGCAATATCCCTCTATCCCCCGCCCCCCAAAAAACATAGATTTTTTACAGTTTATGTAGGCCAAAAAAATTTTCAAGTTCAACTCACATGTGCAACAGTCCAGTGACCGCACTGTGACCTCTATTTCTTGAGTCATCCTGATCTGCTCTTCAATGGCCTCATTCTTCTCACGTTCAACTTGCGCATAGCTCTTACCAAATGTTGTGTATTTGTTTTCAAGATTAAGTTTGTCTCGTTCCTTCTCCTTCCGAGATTCTTCCTCATAAATCCATTTCTCACTTAGGTCCATCTTCTGCAACAAGTCAAATTACTCAGGAGTTAGTATGACCTTTCATTTAGTCATACAGCTTTTTATCTCAGTATTAACTGTTCTAGCAGATGAAAATCTTAACACTATCAAAGTTGTGAATAATAATATGAGATTACCCCACTTTAAATTGCATTTTTTGAATAAATTGGATTATACTGTGTATCCTTCCTCACACACCTCCAGCATTCCTGGAATTGCAGATTATGGCATTGATTTATTACATTTCATGCAAAGGGGATCAGTATTCCTGCCCATCTGACAACACTAAACAATGTTTTTTCTCCATCCTATTCCTTCACTTTGGCTTTACAGTCCTAGCAGTTTTCTTACCTTCCATATTGGTTCTGCCTTAGCAGCAACATCCTTCATACCACCAGGAAACATGATACCTTTTGCTTCCTGCTGGCTTTTGAAGTGAATCATAAAAAGTAAAAATGCATTTTTCGGTTGCTTCTTTTTCTTAGTCTGTGGCATCACTCCTGGAAAATCAAGCAATAAAATCAAAATCTGACTGGATTTTACATAAATGCTACAAAAGTTCACATATGCATCTATGCTCAAGGGTTGCTAATCTCAGATATACCTCTCTGAATGAACCAAGTAAATGCTGGAGCTATTCCTTACATATGTTACATCTGTAATCTACAGTTTCCAGCAATTCATAATTATAATCATGCAATAAGAGAGTAATTCCCCATGCACTACCTCTCTCCAAATTCAAATCTCCTGAGACAGCTAAAGTGTTCAACAAGATAACACTTGACACAAAAAACATGAAAAAAAACATCTCAGAAAAACAAATTTATGGAATATCCTATACAGTTACTTGCAAAAAAACAAGAGTACTGCATATAGTATTATAACATATACTTAATATAAGAGTAAATTATAATCTTAACGTTGCATCACTATAGGAAAACACATAATCCTCAGCGCACAGAAATCAAACAAATATTGTGTGACATAATGCAAGGGTGGGGATGCCAACAGACCAGTTCCTTGCAAGATTGCAGGGAAAGAACATCAGGTCTTGGTGATCCTAACAACTATACTAAAACAGTTACCTAAGATTTAGTGTATAGACCATATATTAGTTTTACAGTTACTATTATAGCTTTCCATAGTTTGTTCTCTGTTGCAGTGCAAGTTACAATGTAGTGTATATAATGTAAGAAAGAAAGAAAGAAAGAAAGAAAGAAAGAAAGAGTTTTGAGCTACATCATCAATACAGACAGTACAGCTAAACATCAGTACCTGGCAATACTGATAAGGACACCCATTCCCTACCCTTCCTACCATGCAATATACCAAAATGAGTCTCTTGATACTGGCTGAAGAAGTATATTTGAACATGTTTATAAGGATAGCTGCCTTTTGAAATGTGCCATGTCATCTGGTACATACTGATGATGTTTCAGAGGTGCTTATGGACTCCATTACTGCCGTGAAGATGGAGGCAGTAAGCACCTCTGAAATACAGCATCTCTAAAATGTAAGTCACTATCTACCAGACTACATGGAGCAAAACTTTCTCCACAAGAACCTGAAAACCAGTACTTTCTCTGTTGAATAAAAAGTATTTCCTTGAGTGCAAAAACACGTTTCATACAAGCAATCACTCTTGTGCTGGAAATGAAAGGTTCTGTACTAATAACAATATCTGCCATTGCACAAGGCCAGGAGACAGTTCAAATTCGGTTTCTTTTTGGAAGGGGGTTATGGATTCATTGAAAACTATATCAGCAGAGATAATAAGAAATAATAAAGGAACCTACGGTTTCTCAACATATGCTGATAGTTGATATACAAACGTCTACTAATAGGCTGTATACAAGCTCGGATGAAAACTGACGTCACAGATCATAGTGAAAAAATCCTTACATTATTATATGTAAATCAATACATCTTAAATACAGAAATGTTTCATAGAAATTCTTTACAGTAAGATAAAAACTCCAAGATGCATATAGTATAATCATTTGTTACGTTTCATTCCTCCTCACCTTTATAACCTTCCACCACAATGCTAAATGCGAAATGTAATGATTCTTCTTCACAGTTCTTCAAATACGACTAGCGCGGCGAATGTCTCAATCACACTCTAGAAATACTAAAAACCCGAAATCAATCCCGTCAGATTAAAACAACATCAAAGATCATTTACAACTTTACCTTCTCGGGGATCACGGATCATACACACGGGCATTTTCGGTGCCACAGATGCAATGAAGATAAATTTAATGTACTACTTTTCAATGGAATTCGTTCATAACATAACCTTCAATAGTTTTGATTCCGGACACCAGACTCATTTATCAACATTTCAAAATAACCTACACATAGAGAAAAAACACAAATATTTTAAATCACTGAAAACTTCAACAGTTAACAATGACTGGAATTTTAACAGTCCTAAGGGCGTCTTAATACGGTTAATTATTTTATCTATCATTTGTGGAAATTATGTGCATAAAATAAATATAATGAGGTTCATACTCAATAAAACTTGTTTGGTTGGTTACATTTCCCCAACCATGTGGAGAGCAGGTCTTGGGTCAGGTTCAACTGTTGTGCAACAGCATCAGGTCAAATTAATACAAGATTCCACAATAGCCTGATATTAGTGCAAGAATGGTCTAAGGTGCAAATACCTTAGATGACATTTGTGCAAGAACAATCTACTTGACGTGGAATAAAGAACACCTCTGGAATGTCAGTATACTCCAATAATTGTATCTTTTCAATCTTGCTACAACACAAAAACTATCTCAAAAACTTCTAACTTTAGCCAAATTGAACAGCATCAGGTCAAATTAATACAAGATTCCACAATAGCCTGATATTAGTGCAAGAATGGTCTAAGGTGCAAATACCTTAGATGACATTTGTGCAAGAACAATCTACTTGACGTGGAATAAAGAACACCTCTGGAATGTCAGTATACTCCAATAATTGTATCTTTTCAATCTTGCTACAACACAAAAACTATCTCAAAAACTTCTAACTTTAGCCAAATTGATTGTTTGCCAATCAGTAAGTAATTTTCTAAGGTAAACTTGACTCTGGTGTTCTTTAAGCACATCATGAAATACATGTATATAAGGTACAAAGTCTTTTCAATTATTTTCAGAAGACTTGCTTAATATGACTTCTTGTTGAGAACCATATGACATAACACTGTCATAAAACCACAAATTTGATTCAGGCGCACACCTTGATGCCGTTATCATCAAATCTTTGAACTTGGCTGCATACACACACATATTCTTCAAGGCACTCATGCTTTCCAGAAAGGCCTGGTACTGATCCAATGACCTCGGCCTCACTACACTACATTACTTTCAAAGGATCCAGGATGCAGGAGGAAGTTAATTCTGGGTATATAAGCTAGCCAGTGGAATAAAGTGTGAAGCGCAAATTGCATCCCAAATCATTTCAATCAGTCTTCACTGTGTTAATTATTATAAATATATGAAGACATGAAAGTAGTCACAAAAATGCTGTTTCTGAAATGCTTGTATTATAGATGAATCATTACATACATTTTAAAAATGTCATCATCCCAACACCTGTATGTCTGCTACTGATCTCCAGATTATGGGTTCTCCTAACTCATTTTAAAAACAAGGAAACACTTATAACAGACATAACACATTTTGCCCCATGCAGGGGCACATAAAAACATGTCCACTAGTCTGCACTTATCCTAATATGTGCTGCACCAGTTGTACACATGATCATGTGTTGTGCGAAGTGCTGGACATGATCTCCTGTATCCTGCGTACTGTACTCATTGGGAGACCAAGTGGTTGCAGACGAGCAAACAGAGACAACAGGTCCATGTCTCCTGGAAAAATCAAGACATCACAAAAAGGTTTAACTTGCCCAGCTAATAGTGCTTGTAAATACGCATTCTGATGTACAGACTTACAGTTCCATATAGAGAATCAAAATCTTTCAACTTCACAATGGGTTTTTAACATGTGCTTTCTTCAAAATAAAAAATATTGTGCAGGTGCAATAACTTCAGGCAGTTGAAAGTTTACTTCCTAGTGGGTCCTAGATTTGAATCGTCCTAAAGACCAGCTGTCTCAAGGTTTCTCATCATTTTCCTCAAACCCTCCAGGAAAATACTAGCATAATAGCTTAAAATAGACCTTGAACACCTTTCTACAGCTCTTCCAATTCATTTACAAAATAATCCTTACATTTGGCATTATGTAATCTACGCAGTTTAAAACTATCATCAAAGGCCCAAGAATGAATCAACTAACATGGCTCTGAACAGCCACTACCACATGAAGTAGCCTCCACAGAAAGAATATTTCCCATGGCCACATAAACCGTGTTCACTTTAAAAAATATTTTGTTGCATTAGGCCTTTTTATTACATGTGAAGCCACACACCTTTCAATAATGAAGAAAGTTTGCTCGGTGAAGGAATGTCACAATACGTGAGATATGTCACCAATTGGCGCAGGTTCTCACTGTTCCGATGCAGATTACCAGTCATATATTGGCGTAACAGCGGTGCAAGTTCTAAAACAAAGGACATTAGGAGTAGTGGTAGCAGTAGTAACCTGTGATTTCTATAATGTCAAGGGTGAATCAAAGTTGCTCATGTCCTTAATTAAGTACCAAACCATAAAGACATGATGTAGAGGTAAAGTAAAGCTGTCCCACTACACGCCATGCAGGCACTTGGGGGGAGTGGAGGTATAGCTCCTACTCTTTCTTGACCTCGGCACTAGATGGGGTGAGTGGTCAGCATCACGCCCCGGCCGTGCTTTTACCCCCGGGAAAGGACCCCGGTACCCATTGAATAGGAGGCTGGGTGAGCCCCAGAGCCGGATGACAAAATCATAAACACAAAGACAGATAATAACACACTGAAAACATGAAGTTGAAGAGTTTGGTAACAACAGTAAGAAATCAAAATTATATTCACAGCAAGATTAAAAACAGGTTAAATTCAGGAAATGCTTCTTACCATTCAGCACATAATTTTAAATATGCAAAATTATAGTGTGTGTGTGTGAGGGTAGATGGTGTGAAAGTTGGTTTCTCCTATGCTACTTGTTCATCAAGGGTAACCATGCTAGAGCTACCTGTCTGCCATGTATCTAGAACCATGTTGGCATACTGCTGTACAGAGAGAGCCAAACTGGGGGCCACCAGCTTTGAATCAAAAGGTGCCTTGTCTGTCAGCACTTGAGCAGCTAGGAGCTTCAGTTGCCAGGTCAGGAAAACATGCGTCTGCTTTGAACGCAGGTTCATCATTGCCTGCACAAAACAGATGTTAACAATAACAACAAAGTATAAAGTACAGCATTTCTACTCTTCGTACAAACCCAAAAACTTTTATCTCTTGCCTGTTTGGCTTTGATGTTTGCAGTTTCAAAGCTATCATGCTACAGATATCACACTGCATACACTACACGCATAAGAAATTACTGTTCGTTATTATTTCACTAAATATATAAAATAAGAGTTGTAAATCTAAATTAAATTAATTTTTGTCATGTAACAATTTTTAAATAATCTGCTGCCTTTTAAACATATTAATAAGTTTGAACTGGACTTCGTACAAAGCATAGATTGCGACAGACTAACACAAACTAAAATTAAGCGTGCCCAACAAAGTTTGGTGTAAGACACTGCCCGCCAATAACAAATTTCAACAGAAACAAATCTCTTATTTATTTGTGACTTATTTAACACTTTAAGGACTAAGATTATATACTGTCGACTGGTTGGATTAATGAATTGGAAAGGATATGAAAATGGTCATGGCTTAAGGTACGATCCCCCACATTTGCCTGTAGTAACTGAGGAAAACCATGAAAACCTCATTCAGGATAGCCAGTCTCTGGTCCAAGATTTTAATCCAGGACTTGCAGATTATGAAGGACTGCTAACCACTTGGTTTTGATGTTCAATGTTTCATTAAAATCCATTCAGTTATCAGAGATGAGAGATCCATTTCATATTCATTTTATGCACTGTGTGCAGACAACACATAACCAAGAAACGTGGGAAAATTATATTACCTTGAGCAGAGTAATCCAAATGGGAAGGATACCAAGCTTGTCCTGCGTCACACATTCGTACACTAACATGGTCAACACCTGCATCACCTCCAGTTCACTACTGCTGCCGTCACATCCCTCCGTTTCCAGGAAGTAATGTGCAAAGTTTACCATCGTTGGATCCGATGAGAAAGCACAGATAGACTCTGCCTGAGGAACAGAGACCAGAATTTAAAAATCTCAGTAACATGACAGTGTAGACGCAGAGTGAACACACACACACACACAGTTCTCCTGCAATTCCTAACCTGCGACACAAGGGCAATGTCCTGTTTTATTTAATGGCTCAATATCAATTGTTTATGAAGTGATGCATTTTTGTTACATGTTGAAAAGAATGTTTTTGGACTATGGAGTGTTCATTTTTAGGTCTCTTTCATTAAGTACATGATACACCAATTCATGTAGGATTTGAGGTTTTCACGGCAGTGAGTCTGAAGAAGACGAACCATCTACATCAATGCAGTTAACCACTCATATAAACACCTGTTAACATATGCAGCTACTGATTCATCATTTTCACCATCTATTAATGTAATTTATATGTAATATACTCATTATATATGCATGCATATTCTTTATAAAAAATAACACACATATTCATAAAAGGGCAGTCTTCTATATTTAAAGTTTTAGACATTTTGTTTCCTTTATCCCTATTTATCTTCTTTCTCTTTCTTTTTTTGTGTCACCTACGAGTACATCGGACTCTGCGATTTTTAGTCAAGTAGGTGCAATAGTAAAAATAAACAAATGTTCAAACACAACAGGGTACTGCAAATAGCAAAAATATGGTCTCCTGATGATCTGAAACATGCACCATCATGAGTAACACATCTTAATAAATGGTTATTAATTAAACGGACACTAACATTTAATAACTGCAATTAGCATAGGACACAACAAAAATATTAAACAGGTTATGACTGATTATAACTGTAGTTATTGAAGTGCTTGTACCGGTATAGACCAAGAGATGGTAGTTTCACTGGTGAGCGTTTGTGCAAGCAGACTGCGAAAACCCTGTGGGTCTTCCAGGTATGAGAGACAACCAGCTCGCTGTTTCACATCCAAACAATCTGAGTACTGCAACAGGTTCCTGTAAATACGACACATTTTGTTGTGTACTACCAATTTCATTAAACACTTTGCACCAACAAAACTGATGTTACAATCCACTGCCGTTTAGAGAGGTAACTTTAAACACTTTGCACCAACAAAACTGATATTACAATCCACTGCCGTTTACAGAGGTAACCGATAATTACATTGCTATTCAGGCTAAGTGCTACTTCACCCCTTCCAGATGTGATTAATATCTGATAAGTCTTGACACTTTCACCACTAGACCAGTCAAACATCAATGTATTTCCTGCTACTAATGAGTACCACTATGCATGTAAAATTTCTTTCAATTTATTTCCATCCATGTGTTAGACGTGCAATTTTCCAGACATACAAACATTTAGAAAATGAATGTGAAATTTGGCATAAAAATACTAAACCAAACATGAGTGCTTGATGTATATATTCACCTTACAAAATTTTTCCCACAAATATTGCTATTATGCATTAAGAAATTTAAAATCTCATAGCATGTGTCTTTAAATCAAAGTGATATCAATTAATACATAATAGCTAATGAGGTCCTTCATGTGAGATGTGTTTATCTGAAATACATGTAATTTTATCGAAACACCAAAGTTTTAGAATTTCATTAGGTCACAGCACTTACAACAGCTGATCCCAGTTGCGGTCACGGTGGAACACAATGCCCCAATATCGATCATCCTCCACCTTCACCTGGAACAAATTACCTGCAGTGAGCAAAAAATTATTATCATCATCCCTTATGAGGAAAACAATTTACATACTGTATTTTCTGGGTTAAAAGCATAACCACATTACAGAGTGATAATTGTATGGAAAACCTTAAACAACCCTCAAAACAAAAGATGCAGCACACAGTTTCTAGGAAGAACTTCCAACAGAAAGTATCTTGTACTCAGGAAAATATAATTCATACAATTATATAGCGTTCACTCAAATGCAATAAATATTTAGTATCGAATAGGAAGAAACTTACATAATTCTTTACATGAAGCATACAAAATTACAGTATAATGAAGGTCATATCCATCCACTTCACCCCTTCTTAAATCAGAGATATGCCACTGGTCTGCTCCCCTTCTAAACAGAAATATCCATACCTCCTGTAATTTACTCAGTTCTGGCAGTATGCAGGGAGCCTGCAGTCGAACCTGCTGTCCGGTATAATGGACTGTATCCAGGTACACAACTGTCAGATGAACATAGCAGAGATGACCAGTGTCAATGTCCCGTGGTAACAGCAGTCGGGGCTCTACAGCTAACACATACAAGTGCCTGAATGCCTGCAGATGGTACCTGCAACATAAAAGTATTTTTTCCTAACTAGGCTACAGTCTGGATGACTCATTCCCTCATACATCCACATGGCATAATGTTTAATTAAGCACTAAGTACAATGTTACCTATAACTTGTATGCTCCAAGCTTACAAAAACAGTGAGTGCTCAACACAATCAGTTCTACATCTACGAAGGAGATGAGCATGCAACAATGGAAGCCACTCACCTGTTGTCATTGCTGTGTGTGGGGAACTTTGGAAAGAAGGCACAGACCATGGCAGCAACAGCGGAAGGGGAAGTACTGAGAGTGTAGCGTCCACTGCCCAGGAACAGTAGTCCCAGGGCCATGTGGGTGGCAAGGTGTGAGCCATAAGTCACCACGCTGTTGGTCGGCCCTACGCGGGACCGCAGGTATCGACACATGCGAAGCACCTCAAGCTCGCCTGTACCAGCCATCACCTATCATAACAGTACTAGTTCAAATAAAAAGTAACAAATTATTTAATAACATAGTATCAACTATTGATATAGATGGCAGTGACATTTTCGATGGATGCCAAAGGAAGGTGTAACCAAAGAAAATTATATTACCAGAAACTTTAAAGCCATACTCTTCGTCTCATACACGAGATTATGATCATTAAACTGAGGAGGATCAGATGGGTGGACATGTAACATTCAAAGGGGAATAAAGAAAGTACAAAATGTTCATCAGAAAACATGAGAAGAAACCACTAGGGAAATGTAAGATAAGATAACTAAGCTATCACTGATCTTCAGAATCCACACTTACCAGAACTTCTAACTTTAGGTCTCAGAAGTCTCAACGTGTCACATGCCCTATATAACAAGCACAGTTTGTATACAGCACATGACACCGCTTGAACCACACACAAATTTTTATTTTCCACCTTAATATGAGGAACTCACCATAGCAAGGGAGAGGAGGATCACATTGAGGCAGATCTCTATAGTTGACTTGCCAGCAAGTTCTGCAATAGACTTCCCGGTGAGGGATGTAAATGTCTTTGCGTACTTGAACAGCGTCTCAAATGCCTCGTTGTTGGCAGAACCAGCGAACCGCAGCCCTAAAGCCATACACGCTCCAGCCAGTATGTTGCAATAAGCCTGACTACAGAGAAACTCATTAATGCATTTAAAACACAGTAAAACATCCTCTGGATAATGAGATTTCAGGTTCTCATAGCAGTCAGTACAAACATGGTTGTCTTATGGTTTGTTGCATCATGTTGTCTGGTAGAAGTTCATCAACATTTCAGAGGTGCTTGCTGTCTTCATTATGTGATGATGGAGGCAGAAAGCACCTCCAAACAATTAAAAATGTCCACAGATGTTCAATGTTATAATTCTTTCATTTTCTGCCAATGAAACTTGGTTTTTTCACAAGCTAACTATAACAAAATAATAAAAAGGTCTACTCCTCCTATGTTAGACATTCATTTTGGAAGAACTGACTTACAACACTACATTTTGCAGTAGCTTCACCAAAAATCTTGACAGTATTGTGTGTTTATACGGATCATATAGCACAGTGGTTCTGAGGAGGAGATATTTGCTCATGGCCAAAGAACTGATGTGCATGTCTGCGTATGTTCCTTTGTGGAAAATTTATATGATAAATAAAAATTACCATTAATACTTTTTAAAATTTCAATTCTTGAAATTTTCTTCTGGTAGTCACACTTCAACTGTCTGGTGGTCACACTTTAGAACCACTGACCTAGCACATCATACTAGTAAAATCTGAACACTCACTTCATAGTTTCATAGTCCACACTGTCAGGCATCCCTGGACGAGGCTTCACCAGACAGTAAGGACGGATAGTGGCAGGAAGGTTTGATTCCACCCATTCTGATGTGGGCAGGATGTCATCCCACAGGATGAGAGAACGGGCAATAATTCGGAGCAGCAAGAAGTCTGGGCGCACAAAATCCAGTAGATACTGTGTGTCAGGAGCCTTCATCCAGTCCGCTACAGCTCTGCCAATGAAATTACACGTATTACTTAACTTACAAATAATCACGAGACAAGACATACTAGTGGGCCCTCATTTAATGACGACCTCCAATTCTTTGATATACAGTTTGGAAAGAAAAACCATAAATCCTTACTACTTTTTAACAAAAATAAAATTCCCCTGATAACACAGTTTCACCGAATACACAAGAGAAACTAACAACATATTTTCATTATCTTGGAATTTATTTATTTATAAAGGATTTCATTATATAGTGGGTGTTGGAGAGGGACAGGCCTACTAAATTTACAGTCTGAAAACTTTTGTCTGAACACAAAAATATAATCATGAATTTGCATTAGTTTTAACTCAAACTACAGCTACACCATATTTCATACTTCAATAAAAAAGGACTAAAATTCTCTATGTATATGAATTAACACACACGGAACAAATCAATGACCTTCACTCCTATAAATAAGAATATTAAAGTTAATGTAGATCATGCTTAAACATCTATTCTTAAGTTGGCAATGACAACACTTCAATATTGCTGCTTTAAGATCATGCTTAAACATCTATTCTTAAGATGACAATAACAACACTTCAATATTGCTGCTTTTCCCTAACAACTGTACCTGTTGCCAGTGTTGAAGTACATCATACCAAGTGCAAGCGTTGCTCCAGGACTAGTAACATCAATGTTGACAGAATCACCCTCTCGGATCTGGTAGCTTGGGGACCTGTACTTCTCCTTCTGGGACCCTATCACAGGTACAAACACATTGAAATTACTATACTGCAGTGCCTGATCACAATTCATGCATTCTAATCTGTGAAATTCAGAAACACCTCACACTGTGTCAGAATTAAAAAAAATAAGGGTTACGGACCAAAGAGAAACTTCCAATCACAATGTACTTGGGAATTACATGCAATATTTGATAGTTTGAAGATTTCCGTCTTCTGGGTTGTTGCGCTGTGTAGTCTGGTCGATATTAACCAACGTTTCAGAGGTCATACTGCCTCCGCCATTAGGGCGATGAATATCCAGAAGACGGAAATCTTCATACTCACCGCTGTGAGAACCTCAAGTCTTACAATCATGATTACCTTTAAAATAAATGCATAAAACCAATTATCTGAATACACTGCATTTCCTTCTTAAATAACTTCTGAAATTCACAAAGAAAATAATTATATCCACATTAAATAACATAAAAATATCCTATAATATCCATCACAAAGAACTTTTTCCACTGCAACTATTGTTCCACGACATATCAAAGTTTCATGAAACCAAACAAGTTCATAGTAAATTACTTCTTCGGCCCTTGAGAAGAAAAAATTTTGCCGCCTGTTATCATTACTGAGAACATTTTATATCAGTTGTTTTACATGTAAAGTTACACCATTTTCTGCACAGTCCACACCTGTTCTAATACCTCATCTGTGAGCATACATCAACCAAAATACCAAGCAATAAACTGGCTTTTATGTAATACATATAACAGGTGGCATGGCAGGATGTATGACAAGTAAAATGGGAGATTACCACAGAAATATATTTCAGTCTTATTAATCATACATCCCTCAGACCATCAACTCACATAAAACATAAACTATGCCTGATGAAGATACCCTCAGAAAACTAAGATTGTTCCACAACATTAACCCATGTCCTCGATGTAAATATTATATGTGATAGTTCATAAACATCAGTATACTAAACCCATGATCTAAGAATTAAAATAGGCATGCATGCTGCTAACCTGAGAGGGGGCGACGGTGGCCCCCTACCATGTAGTAGTGCAGTGTATCAGGCACAGCCAAGTCCCCCAGTCCACACAGCTTAGATCCCTTCCCCAGAACCACGAGTCCAAGAGCAAGTCCAGCTGCTAGCGAATAAGATTCCCGATCCACACTGTTCTCCATCTCAGGTCCTGGTGGGCGACCTGCCACAATACACTAACATAAGTCGCAAGATGTATGCCGGGCATAACAATTCTTGCATAAAATCAGGTATTTGAATTTTGACATTTCTTGAATTCCTGGCTGGATAATCCACTCCCAGTCACTTCTGTGGGAAACATAAATTGGCTGTTATTGATGGCCAACATAGGATTTCGTGAAAATCCATTCAGCTGTTCTTGAGATGGACAAACAGAGCGATTTTAATAAGCAGTCCATGGGGCTGCAAATCCACCTATGAAAGATAATGTGCGTAAAATAAATGTGCATGCTTTCTATGACTGAAGACAATTGATGTATTACCTATTTCTGAGAGCAACACCTCTGCAATGTGTCTGTGGGCAGTTCCTTCAAAAACAAGCCCTATTCCAAGCAGTGCTGCAACCTGTATATTCTGTGGAATGTCAAGCTCAATTGATGTGGGTGGCAATAGTGCCTCAAGATGGATGCTCATCAGTTTCGTAGCGGCCATGTCCATTGTGCCTGTAAAGCAGAAACAAATTCAGTCCAGAAACTTAATGTACGCTCCTTGTATTATGCAGTGAATTCAAAAATGTGAGTCTCTAAAGTTATGCAATGAGTGATTCAATATAGCCTAGTTATTTTGGAGAGTTCACATGTGGCCCACCTCTTTTGGTAGCTGCAACACCTAGCAACAGTCCCACGCTGGTCATTTCATGACACTTTATCAGATACTCATATGTGTTGAAATGGGCCAGGTTACTCAAATGGCCATTCAAACCCAATGCCATGAGGAAGCCAGCATGCTCTGTTGGTACCTCATTTGTACCCTGTAACAGATATCAACATGTTACAGAAAATATATACCATACAATGATTGCTGCCTCCATCACCAGGGCTATCAGACTCACCGTCATGGAAACCTCAAATTCTACTTCAAAATTCTGTGTTATAATAAGGTATTACTGTACAGATTCCATTGGAAATGCTTTCATACATTAATACAGTAAAGTACACTTCAACACAACATTTCCCAAACTTTTAGAACTGCAACTACATCAACAAACAAAACTGCCATCTTCATGCTAAACCTCTCCTTCCCTCTTTCACTAATCCTCTTCAGTTATTCTAATCCCATAAATTACTTAATGAACCACATCTATTAAACGGTATTTTAAACTAACAAAATTCAAAATAAGATCATTGCTCCATATTCACTTAAGTATCATCTGCGATCTGGACAATAAGCCCAATAGCAGTCACAGTTCCACACAGACATAGCTTTACTCCATCATAATAATATTAACAAAAAACAAATGACAAACTGATTCATAGTAACAACCAGGATTACAGATCCATTTTCCTCAGTCATATTCTATTACAATTTCAGCCCAGACACTGATGGACAAAAGCACCAATCTTTCTGCAGTATATTATCCAAAACTTTACGTACAGTCTATACTCTCTACAGACGAACAAGGAGTGTTTACTGCATCTTTCATATCAGTGTGAGAAGAAAGCTCTCCCGGCATTTAACCAGAGGGTCTTCGATCAGGTCATCGACATTATATACCTTTGGCTTATTGAATACAATCCAATTTGAGTCAATATTGGATGCACTGGGAGCAATGTGGAGGCCAGCAGCAACTCCATTATGGAAGAGTGGCCACAGGTTCATGTTAGGAACAACTTCAATATGTGACAAATCCACTGTGGTGCCTCTTGGGGGAGCTCGTCCAGTGAGACACAGGCGGGGAATGGGTAGTGTCTCAGTCACCACAGGAGCAACAGTGCGAAGAGTGAACATTCCCCTGGCAGAAAAGTATGGGAAGAACAACATGACAGAACTTAATGACATGCTTTAGAAAATAAAATAAAATACCACAAAAGCCATAGCTATTTCTATGCAACATACAAAAGTAAAGACTATCCCTGTGTTTAGGAAACAAGCCATAAATGTATTTAAGGAATGAGAAGATAGAATCATCTGATCTCAGAAATAATATTAAACAAAATACAAAAGGAAGAACATGAATGAGAGAGAGAACAAACATAAAAATATGCAAACTTCACTTTTATTTTATATATAAATAAATTACTTAAAGTGAAGGTAAAAGAATTAATTACATTTCATGAATTCATGGCACAGTACTTATTCATTCAAAATTTAAAGATTGTCCTAATAGTTTGAAAATAAGAAAATGTGATATTTGTTATAAAACACACATAAAAATTATAAACTCTGGATTGACACAAGTATTTTAAAGATATATACTTTATAGGCCAACAGTGATAAAAATAAGATTTTTGGCAAGCTGATGAAGGACTTGGAATGAGATGGCAACAGCCTATTTCAAAGTACTATCCCAATATTCACCAAGTGTAACCAATACACTGAAAATCTCAGAATATCTGACAATCTTACAAAGTTGACACTTTCAGACTACAATCCTATCTTACTACTATACTAACCTGTTCAGATGGTTAACATTTAAAGTACAAAGCTCAGGTAACATGATTAAACACAATGAATGTTCTGCCCAGTGTCTTACCTGCCAACAGGCAGTGCCATGGTGCGGGTGCAGATGGCATACAAGTGCTTCTCTTGTTCCTCTATAAACTCATGGTCTGACACCTCGGGACGCTGCGTGATGGTAATCTGCACTGGGTTGG